TTTTTTTTTTTTTATCTTTATTAAAATCAAACATCATATTATACAAGTAAAACAATATATAAAATCAATTGTCCTTGATTGTTGTCATTATATACTAACTTTGTATTTACAATACATCTACTACTGTTAATTCACATTTAAAGTACACAATATAAAGTATATAAACTAATTACAATTTAAAGACTAGAATATTGTCTGTTTCTTCTAACAATGGGTTATCTAATACAAACTTTTTTTGAAATATATGACTCATATTATGACATCGACAGAGATAGACATGCATATATGTTACATAATGTTTTAATGTATATTGAAATAATTTTATCAAATTTACATTAGAATAACCACTATTCAACAAGTTTCTCCTTCTGTAGATACAGTATCTGGCAACAGACATAAAAAAATTTAGAAACGTATCATTTACACCTTTCATATGCCATCTCAAACCCAAAATCAATAGTTCCTCACTTCTTACTAAACTAATCTTATCTGAATCACAGTTTTCAAAAATTCTAACCAACAAAGATGATAAATAACTATGAAAATCTTGAAGCTTATCACAATTCATAAATATATGCAGGATGTCCTCCTTTTCACTGCAACATACTTTACAAATATTATCATCACCTAAACCTATCTTATGAAGTTTTACATTGGTAAAAATACAGTTATGTAACACCTTAAAGTCTAACTCAACCAAGTTAGAAGGTTTCCAATACATATTAACATGTGTCCATATTTTACTAACTGCTTCAGAACGTACATCAAATTCCGATTTCCATAACTCAATACCAACAGGTTCTTCAACAATATTTTCCAACATAATAGTGTATAATGTTTTAGTGCTACATAGTTTCAAATCATAATGCACATTTTTACAAATAATTGAAATGTCTATTGTTCTTGGTATAGATATTCTGTGAATATCAGTGTTCACTGTGTTTTTCCATTCTACAGGTATAACATTCAACAAATTTCTATATCTATCAATTACATACTGTACATTAACATCTTCATATACAACTTGAATCATTTCAACTATAGCATGATCTGGCAAGAAACCAGTTTTTACTTCAAAGCATATATCTTTGAGACAAACAATACCAGCACCTATAAAATCGTGCCATACAATTGTTCTGTTATTAACTATAATATTAGGATTAACAAACAAAGGCTGATCATAAATATTTTCTACAGACAATGGAAACTCTATTTTTTTCCTTATAAAATTCAGTGCTTGAAAAAATTCTTGATAAACAACAGGAAGGTTTTTCAATTCACAATTAGGTATCACTGAATAAAAAACATTAAGACAAAGTTTCATTTCATAAATTGAAGATACAAAATACTTAAATGTGTATTTCCATAATACTTCATATTCATCATTTAACAATCTGCCTAGAAATTTTAGCCTAAAAGCATATATTTTACATTTGATATCAGCAACATTTAAACCACCTCTACTTTTATCATCTACTATACAGTTATATTTTACTAGATGACATCTATTTTTCCATATAAAATTAAGACAAACTCTTTTTATCTCTATATAAGCCCATTCAGGTAATGCAGTAACAAACAATGCATACCAAAATCTAGATAACATCAGTGAATTGATAACACTAACCCTGCCATGTATAGTAAGTCTTCTCAATAACCATATGTTGAGAAGGGTTTTTATCTTAACTATTTTATTTTTCCAATTCATTTCATCACACATTTTTCTATTTTTTCCAATAAAAACTCCCAACAGTTGAAAATAATCTTCACAAACTTTTAGACCAATGTGATCTTTTTCTAATACAGATAATGTACCGGTACCTAAACATAATATCTCTGATTTTTGTCTGTTTATTCTGGCACCTGTTGCTTTGCTATACAAATCGAATTCCTTAAATACTTCAGGAATTGATTCCTTATTACATAAAGACAAAGTTGTATCATCAGCATGTTGATAAATCAAACCAATCTTGTTACTTTTTGGGATATTAATTCCCTTTATATTTACATTTTGTACAATTTTACAGTGCAGTGGTTCTGCAATAAGTACATATAATAAGGCACTAATTGGACAACCTTGCCTAATACCATTCTTTATGACAAAATACTTTGTTAAAAAGCCATTACATTTGACTGCACTATTTATACCATTATAAAATATACTAATCCATTTCACAAATCTCTCACCAAAACCAAATTTCTTCAATACTTCTAACAGATAAGTATGACTAACTCTATCAAAAGCATTTGCTTGATCTAATTTTAAAAAATATCCCTCAAGATCATCTCTTTCAACAAGTTCCATAATATCTCTAACATTTGAAATATTATTTGAGATATCTCTTCCCATAATACAACACGTTTGATCTTCAGAAATATCTTCGGTAATACAGTTTTTAATCTATTTGACATAATTCTTGCTAAAATTTTATAATCTACTTGCAATAAAGATATTGGCCTATAATTTTTCAAAAAATTCCTTTCACCTTTTTTCTTATAAACCAGACTTATAATTCCACATTTCATTGATCTACTTAAAATACCTTCCTCTTCAATAACATCAAACAATTTCAATAACACATATTTTAATTCAGAATAAAATTTACAATAAAACTCTACAGTAAGTCCGTCTGAACCTGGACTTTTATTTTTAGACAATTGATTAATAGCTTTACACAATTCATCTTCTGTTACATCATCATTACATATATTGTTATCATCATCATTTACTGTTTTTGTAACAAAATTTAACAATTCTGACATCTTATTTTCATCAGTAGTTACACATGAATATAAATCACTAAAAAAACTATGTTGTAATTCTAAAATACCATCAGTATCTGACACAGTATCACCATTATCATTCAACAATTCTTTTATAGCATTACTCTCTTGTTTATACTTTTTCTAAATTTAGAAAGTATTTTGTATTTTTATCAGACTCCACCGCCCATACAGCTTTAGCTCTCAATACTGCTCCTTTACACTTTTCAATTTCTAAATTTGACAGTTCTAATTTAAGACTTTCTAATTTGGCAATATCAATTACAATACCACTAGCTGCCTTTTCACAAAGGTGATTGATTTGCCTTTCTAATCTAAAATACTCTTTCTTGTTTTGTTTAGCTAAATCAGATGACAATATCTGAGAATATCTTTTAATTCTATACTTTAAGTTATCCCACCAAACTAAAAAATCTCTATGAAATAATTCACTTTCTTTTTCTTGTGATATAATATCTTTAACTCTTTGTACATATTCTTCGTTAAACAACAATGTTTTATTCAAAATCCAGAGTCCAGGACCTCTTTCAATACATGTACAATTTAAATGCATAATAACAAAAGAGTGGTCACTCATACTAGTAACATTATAATACAAACTTTGTACAAAAGATGACATATTCCTACTAACAAGAAAATAATCTATTCTACTTTGTTGTAGTTTACCCTCTGAAATTCTTTTCCAGGAAAATATTCGACAATCTGGGTTTCTAGCCCTCCATATATCATATACATTATTATCATCCATCAATTTAGTCAGTTTTCTATAGGGTTCATCATTTATATGACAAGTTTTACTTCCTCTGTCTAACACAGACAAAGAGGTATTAAAATCACCTCCAATAATCAAATTATCTAAATCTTTAGTATAATCTATCACAAAATCATAGAAATTACATCTATCAGAAACTACATTAGGTGCATACAAAGAAATAAAGTTTACCAATGTATCATTCTCATAATAAGTCACATGAATAAATCTACCTTGATCATCTTTATAAATACATTTTATTTTATCTTTATAATAATTGCTAGCTAGAACAGCCACACCCTGTCTGCCATCCATACCATTACTATAATAAATATCACCTTCATACATATGTTTTACACCTTTAATAAAATTATCATCCCAAAATGTTTCTTGAAGTAACACAATACCAAATTTTCTGTCTTGTACAGTACTTAGAAATCTTTGTAAATTTACAACATTTCTCATACCATTACAATTCAAACTACATATAACAACCATTACAAAAAATATTAAACAATGACATATATATCTATCCATTTTTACTTTTTGTATTTTTTGACAAATTTCTAACAGTTTGACTATTCAGATTTGGAGCAATTGTTAGTTTATTTCTCCTTTCTTTTTTCTTTTCTTTTTTTCTGATTTTTTTTAACATTTTGATACTAATACATTTTTTCATCCCGCTATCAATAATTTTACAATCTGTATTTAACTCTACATCAGAACAGACAAATGATTCCTTATTATTACTTGCACCTTCAACATTGACTTCTTCGTCATCATCACAGGTGCTATATTCATCATCCATATCTATCGAGTGCTCCTCTGTTGCCATCTCCACATTACACTCTTCTGTAACAATAATGTCAACAGGAGAGCACTCTTCATTTTTTTTCTTTTTAACAACCTCATCAGAATCACTGTCTGCTCTTTTGTTTTTATCTTGAGCCTGTTCAATTACATTAATATCATCATCACCATCATCACCATCATCAAATATTTGATCATCCCTGTCCAATTTCCGTTTCCTGCTGTCCTCCTGTATGCCACTACTATTGGCATGGACCTCTGCTACAACAATTTTAACATTCATATGGGAATCAACTACTTTTTTCAACTCTGTTTGTTCATCATCAATTATATTTTCACTACTTTCTACATCATCATCCTTAAATTGTATAACTACCTCACTGTCATCATCCTTATCTTTATCTTCATCAATATTTTGATCCATACAGGTACAGTTGAAAATATCCCGTGAGGCGGAGTCGAACCACCGACCTAAAGATGTCAGATTTTCTTATTCCACTACAGTCTTCCGCTCTACCAACTGAGCTATCACGGGGTCTTACATTTCCGACTAGCCTCGAGAGCTCTATTTGTAGACAGTGAGAACTAAATGATCACGGAAAAAGAAATCAAAGATCTAACTAAAATATATTTAGATTTAGGACAATTACGTGGTATGCCTACTAATGCTAGGGCGGTCAGTCGCAAAAAATGCATAAGGTTGAAACGTCATACATGCATAAAAAGTCGCTAATGTGCTTTCGCTAAAAATTCTTGAACAATGGTAATATTTGAGAGTAAAATAGGGCCAAAAAATATCCCGTGAGGCGGAGTCGAACCACCGACCTAAAGATGTCAGATTTTCTTATTCCACTACAGTCTTCCGCTCTTCCAACTGAGCTATCACGGGGTCTGTATGCAAATGGTTAAAATTTATGATTTATACGTATTTGGGTGTATAGGACATTTAGTAATAAAAACCAAAAAGCGCCATCAATAGGATCTGAAACATTATTAGGGGAAGGAGGGGCAATAATTCATTTAGATAATTCAATTAGCAAGAGTAGCAGCGAAAACAAAAAAGTAGAATGACGGATCGGTTGCGCTTAACATATCGCCTACAGCAATCAATACTATGAATTTGCGGATGCGTTCAATATAGTAACAAGATAGCAGTGAACATTAAGTACCTAAAAATGGTGGACGTCACTAAGTCCTCGGTAGTATAGTGGTTAGTATCCCCGCCTGTCACGCGGGAGACCGGGGTTCGATTCCCCGCCGGGGAGGACATTATTTTTTACTTGGCTTTGAATTTTCATTTTTTTATTGGTCAATTTGACCGGTATAGTTACACCGGATACTCCTTACGTAAGGACTTTTTAAATATCAAGTTGTGAAATAATTTATTTATACAAGTTACTTTCTCTGGTCAAAAGAAACATGCACATAATTTAAAAATCAATAAGAAATAATGTGTTTATACAATTAAATTAGGATATTCATATCTTGTAGAAAAAAGTTGTTAACAAAGCAGCACTTGGGACAAGTAAAACAAAGATTTTTTTTATTATGATCAGTGCTGCAAAATCAAAATGCAAACATACAAGAATCATCTAAACTCAGTTGCTTTCACCAAGTCTACAAAATGGGTCAGAGACCATCATATGTTGATTCACTAAACAATTTAAATGATAGAGCAGCAATATATGCAAAATATGCATAAGTGCACATTCTTTAATGATTGAAAGGGGAAGACATCTTAACATTCCTAGAGAAGAAATATACTGTGCTGTCTGTAAAAATAGGGAATTTGAGGATGAACAACATTTCTTATTACAATGTAATAGATTTACCTCAAAACGAGACATATTAGAAAAAAAAAAATGTTATATTTAAAATACAGCGTAACATTACCACTGATGCAAAAATATCTCTATTGGTTAACAATAGCTCAGCATTATTTAAGACTGTGTTCCTTTTTCATATCAGAGTGTCTAAATATAAGGAATAGTGAACTAATATGATACATCAATATGTAACTTTTCATTCTATCATGTCAATTAATATAATTATATGTATGCAATAACTATTTATTGTTAATGAGTTTGTGCCAATAAAAAAAATTGAATTTGTACAATTGCAAGATCGTACTTTTCAGAAAAAACTGAACATATTTCTTAAGAATCAGTTTACCAGAATTCCATGGCTGGATATAAAGACCAATACAGAATTCAAAGTAAGTAAACTTCATTATTTAATCAGTAATTGTCTCCCCTGGACAAATTCTAAAAGGGCAAGTCACTTAGGCTTGTTGTTTCTGCTAGGGGTGGTGTCGTCAACAATGTATTAATTTGTGATATTAATGTCAATAAATGGGTAATCTGAATGCCGGGTAAATGATTTTTGTGTGAGAATGGAAATGGGGAATGTGTCAAGGAGACAATGACCCAACCAAAGATCAGAAAACAGGAGAAGGCCACTTAAATGGGTCTTCAACAATTGAATTTGGTATTGTCAATTTAGAACATCTCATTATTCACTTCCATATCATTTGACTCAATCTTATTCATCATGTATGGACTTTAAAATTGTTGGCATTCAAACAAAACATCCTTACAACTTAAAGAAATATTGTTTTGATTTAAAGTATAAAAGAAATTAATGTCTGTTAATAATTACATGAAATAGGTGTATGAAGTTGTGAACATAAATAAAAACTTATTGATTGAAAAAATTAGTTCTTCAGCTAAGATGATAAAATTTATACTATCAGTTATATGATTTGCTACTGACCCCATACTGATCCATGGAGGTTTAGTAAAACCTTATGGATTTTACTAACCCTTTATTAATCTGTACGGGGTAAGTAGTGAACAATATAATTTTTTTATTGCACACATGACTGTTCTTGCAAAGTTTTGTATAAAAAATACAGTTAAGTACAATAAAATTAATAGCTGACCTCACTATTTAAGGGGATTCATAGGGGTCACCACTTATTAAAGTACTAAACTAATCAAATTTGTGCAAGGTGCGATAAATTATATATGTATTCATAACTCTTATATGATTTGCATATTAGAGAATACGTTGATATGATTGGTTGAGAGGACTTCCGGTAGTTGTTCTTGACGTGGTTTATTTTTCTATAGACGATATTGACCGAACTTCTTTTCGTAACCAATGTAAACAAGATGGCGGCGGTAATGACACAATCCGGATCGACGTTAACAATATTTATTTTCAATTCGCGTTAATAGGTCTTAATGGTTAAATAGAATAAAAAAACACGAAACATTCGTTTGAATGATAATAAGAGTTTTTGTAGTTTATTTTTTATCAGATTGCAAATTTCATGGAGTACAATTACTTTTGCGTTAACCAACAAATATATTCATGCGCCAGGCCTATTCAATGACACAAATATACAATTTACGTGTGATAGAGGTTACGAGTGTGGGACAATAAATTCCTTATCTCCAATTTTATAGAATTATAAGGATTAAACGCCTTTTTAAAGGAATTAATTGGTGTATAAACTGTACCAAGTCACTCACAAACATATCATAAAATTCCTTCGGACTTTTATTTGTTTGTGAGTGAATTGGTCGAGTTTATACACCAATTAATTCCTTTAAAAAGGCGTTTAATCCTATAATAAATAGCATATTCATTAATTTTGATTTACTAATAAACATACTGTTTGCACTTTTTTTTATTTTCAATGTTTAGAATGAGGTAAATAGAAATTTGAAGAATGATGGTTACACCAATGATGCCATGGCATTCAAGAGTGTAATAACATGGTCATTGGGGAGGTACACTGATTACAGAAATCAGTTGAGAAGAAAGGTAATTTCAAGATAGGGTGAATGAACTTTGTATATATATTTATACATGTTTCTTTTAATCAGCAATTTTGTTTATTGTTTTAAGTTGAGGCTGTTGTTCGCTCCTTTTGTTTTTGAATTTTTGCCAGATATTTTCCCTGATAGTGATAACCCCTACTTTTCTTTTCATAATTTTATTACCTATAGTTTAAAAAGCAATACTTTAAAATGCTATAAAATCCTGTATAAATTGCTGCATTTTTCGTTTCCATTCTCTAACTTTAGTTTGCCCCAATCAAATGTTATGAAACTTATATACTATAATGCTGATGACTACCACAGATCAAGTTTCAATTTTGGTGGTGTCACTTTTACCATTCTAAGAGTTGTGCCCCTTTACAAATGTAAAAATTGCTGAATTTTTCATTTTCTTTCTCTAACTTTAGTTTGCCCCAATCAAATGTAATGAAACTTATACACAATGCTGACTACCACAGATCAATTTTCAATTTTGGCGGTGTCACTTTAAACATTCTAAGAGTTATGTAAAAAAATGTTGAATTTTTCGTTTCCGTTCTCCAACTTTAGTTTATCTCAACTGAATGTTATGAAACTTATTCACAATGCACGATGCTTATTACCACAAAACACAAGTACAAATTTGGGTAGCGTCACTTTTTCATTTCTTGAGTTATGTCTCTTTATCACATAATATGCAAGCTGGGGCATCATCTGTGACAAGCAATGCTTTGCAAACTTGTGTGACGTGGTTGACTAGTTTTTCAGCATATAAAGTAGACAGATATAGTATTATCTGGGCTAATCATGTTGTACATATATATATATATAACCAATGATTCAATGAATAAAGACAATGTTTGATTAATATCTTTATTAAAACATGCCCTTTTGATATAATCATTTCACGTGTTAAATGACCTTTTTCAGGATTGGCACCCTGCCCTTTTGAAATCCTAGCTGGATCACTGCCCATGGACACATTTCCCTATTTATTTTTTTCTGATTTTTTAGTGCCTTTATTTTTATACTATCAATTTATAACATTCTTTTAAAAAAAGCTTGTTATTTTGAAACAGAGTAGCCAACATAATGAGCAACAAACTACATTGAACATCCGCTTCTCTTGATGACAATATTTCAAAATCAAATACACATTATATGAAGAACAGGAATAAAAGCCCTGTTCATTGATAATTTTCTATGTTTTCTATGTATTGTCTGTGATTTTGTCCCATGTATCCTTTCATTTTCTATATGTGACATATCAGTCAGATCAATATATATTTTTATTATTATTATTATTATTATAGTTTTTATAACAGTGCGTTATATAATATTAAAATTACCCTAAGCGCTTTACATCATATATCCATTCACATACAATAAAATATGAAAGCTCATTTTAAAAAATCCTAAAACCAACAGATTTTAAAAATATTTTATAAAAAAATTATACTTTCAAATTTTACTGATAAACAATTAAAATAAGCATGTGCGGTATGGGCTTTGCTCATTGTTGAAGGCCGTACAGTGACCTATAGTTGTTAATTTCTGTGTCATTTGGTCTCTTGTGGAGAGTTGTCTCATTGGCAATCATACCACATCTTCTTTTTTATATATGGTAGAATTAAGGAGATATTAAAACCGTACCAATAAAAGTAAGCTAAAACTTAAAAAAATATTTGCTAAAAAATTCAAAGTTCATATAACAGTAAACAAACTAATTTATTATCTTTCTACGGAAGCAGAATGACTGAAATCAACCTAGGGATAACAATCCTGCAATGGCGTAACTATTTGCATACACCATTATATTTCAGAAAGACTCTTCATACCTTCAACTTGTATACACATCACTTATTTTAAGAATTTCCATCTGTCATTTGTCTTTTGTCCTTGACCTCATTTTCATGACTCAATGACTTACTTTTTTTTTGACAAGTGAAAAATATGCACTTATTATGAGTAATAGAATAACTGTATTCTGTATATGAGCTTCTTGCAAGCCTACATGTCTGTCAGGTAACGGATCCTCCTGACCGAGACATCATTTAATGGAACAACAATTTAGGTTAAAGTTACATAGTCAAGTGTGTATCTCAGATACTATTAGCATTATGGAAACTATATTTTGTATATTGAATGAAATGTAAAGTGTACATGAATTATTTGCAGGTTTCATCTGTCCTTGACCTCAATTTCATGATTCCTTAAAAATGTATAGTTTTGTGGTTTTTGATCTTTTTTTCAAGACACTAAAAACATTTTGACCACTACATTTAGTGTGGATAATTGATTGGTGAATGTGTCCATATGGCAGGTTTCATATGACCTTAAGCTCATTTTCATGGTTCATTGGACATGGTTTAGATTTTGTGGTTTGGTTTATTTCTCAAGAAAATATAAGCAAGTGGTCAACCATATTTGGTATATGAAATTATTTAAGGAATGACTAATATTTTTTCTGTCTATTCGAAATAACATCAAAAATGTGGTGCACCACATTTTTTATGTTATTTCGAATAGACAGAAAAAATATTACAGTCATTTCTTATAATTTAATTCTAAATTCCATTTTAAACTGGAGTAAACCATGAAAAAACGTTGATGACGTCACGATCACATGACAAAATTATGTCTATGAGCTGATAAACAAAACAACGTCAGCCAATCAGAAGACGCGTTACATCCAAAATTAAATTATTGTAAGATGTTCATATCTGTCTTAATGCTGGATTCAACTTCATATGACCTTGATTTCATTTTCATGGTTCATTGGTTAATGTTAAGATGCTGTGATTTGATCTGTTTCTCAGGTGCTGTTAGTGACAGGACCACTTTATTTGATGTATGGAATAATTGTAAGGTGTACATGTATGTCTGGCATGGTTCTTACCCTGACTTCAAACTTTTATTTGTTTATGAGTAAATTGGTCGAGTTATACACAAATAAATTCCTTTAAAAAGGCGTTCAATCCTATACTAAACGTTGTCGAGTCAGAATAAAAGTTTAAATCAAACTCATTGCATTACAATACTCAAATGTCTTAAAACTTATCTGATTAATCTTAATATTTTCTCATTTTTTAAAGATAATAACTGAATTAAAGAAGGAAGATTTGGCCGTTGTGCCCATAGAAGAATTTGCCCAGTCTATAATAGGTGGTTATTGTAGTTCTGGGGTTGATGACAGTTCTCCAGAGAGGACACAGTTGTGCCTGCTACTTGTAAGTTTAGCAATAACAGAAATTACTTTACAGTGAATTAATTAATTCACTGTAGTGTAGGTCATTTTATCATGTATTATTTATTTCTGATGAAGAACAGACTACGTAATATGAAAATATTGCAAAACGAACCAATGAAGCTTTCTTATGTATGAAAGATCATTGATCATAATTCTTATTTCCATTTTTAAAGGCAAAGTCCATGCTGTAAGCTTATTACATTATGGCATATTCCCTCTGATGAACTGAAAAAACAATTTATGTTTAGTAGCAATGAGATTGAAAATAATCAAGTTTAGAAAATGGCAAATAATTTTAAAATGTTTTGTCATTTTTAATTTTTGCAGTATTGTTGACCTAATAATATAAAAATATAATAATCCTATGATATTTATACATGAAAGTAATAGACTATTTTCATATTACCGACTTTTGACTCTGGATTATATAATTTTTTGACAGGTAACCTTTTCTGTGGTAGGACATCCTGGTTCTCAGTGAAGTAAGAGCAACCAAAATAAGTAAAATCAAACATATAATCGGTGTATAATAATTTGAGGGGAAGTTTACTGTTTTATGATGATTTTGTCATGTAAAATAAATGTAAAGCAGTTAATTTTCCCCAAAAATTTAACCTATTTTAAGCTTGATTTTACTTCTTTAGGTTGCTCTTACTTTACTTGGTACCAGGATGTCCTACCACAGGGAAGGTACGTAACCTGTTGAAAAAGTATAAACTGCGGAGTCAAAAGTCCGTAACATGAAAATGGTCTATTGAACAACTACAAAAGTATTATTACCATACAACTGATATTATGGTGTTATCTTAATAGATGTTTTAATAGAAAAGATTTTAAATGTTACAGGTGCTATAATTTTTGAGAAACATTGCTATTTGAAGAACACGGTTCAGCTTCATTACAGAAGTGAAAATAGGACCCTGAACAATAATGTCAATGAACAAAATCTTTTTTGTTAAGATAGTTTTTAAAAAAATGTACTTAGATCACAAGTCATAAGAAACAGTTATGACAGAATAGTTTTTCTTATTTATGCTGAAACAATAACAAATTTGATTATTTGGTGGACACAACCATCAACAACTTAAACAGGCTCCTGCATGGCTAGTGTAGTTTATTTTCATACAATGTCTTTCAGTTTTTATACACCGCAAACATTTTTGGGGGTTCGTATAATGCTATGATGTTGTCGTCGTCTGAAACTTAGTTAAAGTACATTTTGTAAATGGATCTTTATGAAATTTTACAAGGTTCAATACCACAAAAAGAAGATTTGGATTGAATTTGGGGGTTATGGTACAAACAGTTTAGGAATAAGGGGCTAAAAACAAGCATTTATGTAGTTTCTGGACAATAACTTGTGTGTAAGTGTATGGATCTCTCTGACATTGTACCACAAGGTTCCATATCACAAAGTGAAGGCTAGGATTGCGTTTGGCCCAAACAAGCAGGAATCAGGGGCAAAAAAGGGGCCAAAAACAAGCATTTTTGTAGTTTCCAGACAATAACTTGTGTTTTGTTTAAGTGTATGGATCTCTCTAAAATTGTACGACAAGGTTCCATACCACAAAGGGAAGGGTGGGATTGAGTTTGGGGGTAATTGTTCCAAGGGGAGGGGGGATTTTTTTCCCTAATTTTTTTAAGGGGTTCATATTTTTTTTTCAAAATTTTTGAAATTACAAATTTTTTGAAAAGTTTCAAGAAGAAATCTTCAAAATGCACAGTATTGCGCAATAGATTTTTAAGATCTTTGACCACATTTATTTTGTGTCAGAAACCTATATTATCATGATTATGTCAAAAATTTGATCACAATCCAAATTCAGACAGTATCAAGGTTGAATATTGTGTCCAGATTTGCCCGATCTGTTCAGGGTTTGACCTCTGCCTTCATATCAGGCTGCGGTCGTATTAGGCTGCGCTCAGCGAAGCATTTTTTTTTTGTTTTTGCGCAAGTAGATAGTGACAAATTATCTGTCTACTATGAAATTAATTATTTTGAAACATATCTGATATCAGTGTTTGTGGACTGAAAACCAATTGTATTTTTGGTAATACTAGATTACGTTATTTTTATATTTTTATACGACCGCAAAAAAATATTGCGGTCGTATATTGGTATGACGTTGGCGTTGTCGTCGTCGTCCGAAGACATTGGTTTCGCACTCTAACTTTAGTTTAAGTAAATGGATCTCTATGAAATTTTTCAATAAGGTTCAATACCACAAAAGGAAGGTTGGGATTGCTTTTGGGGGTTATGGTACCAACAGTAATGGAATTAGGGGCCAAAAATAAGCATTTTTGTAACTTGCAGACATAACTTGTGTGTTAGTGTATGGATCTCTCTGACATTGTACCACAAGGTTCCATATCACAAAGGGAATGCTGGGATTGATTTTGGGGGTAATTGCCTCCAAATTTTAGGAATTACGGGCCAAAAAGGGGCAAAAAACAAGCATTTTTCTAGTTTCATGGCAATAACTTGTGTGTAAGTGTATGGATCTTTCTGAAATTGTACTACAAGGTTCCATATCACAAAGGGAAAGATGGAATTGAGTTTGGGGGTAATTGCCTGAAACGTTTAGGAATAAGGGGCCAAAAAGGGGCCAAAAATAAGCATTTTTCTAGTTTCCAGACATTAACTTGGGTTCAAGGGTATGGATCTCTCTGAAATTGTACTGCAAGGTACCATACCACAAAGAGAAGGCTGGGATTGATTTTGGGGGTAATTGCCTCAAAATTTAAGGAATTAGGGGCCAAAAAGGGGCAAAAAACAAGCATTTTTCTAGTTTCATGACAATAACTTGTGTGTTAGTGTATTGATCTTTCTCAAATTGTACTACAAGGTTCCATTTCACAAAGGGAAAGCTGGAATTGAGTTTGGGGGTAATTGCCTAAAACGTTTAGGAATAAGGGGCCAAAAATAAGCATTTTTCTAGTTTACAGACATTAACTTGTGTTCAAGTGTATGGATCTCTCTGAAATTGTACTGCAAGGTACCATACCACAAAGGGAAGGCTGGGATTGATTGTAGGGGGTAATTGCCTCAATATTTTAGGAATTAGGGGCCAAAAAGGGGCAAAAAAACAAGCATTTTTCTAGTTTCAGGATAATAACTTGTGTGTAAGTGTATGGATCTTTATGAAATTGTACTACAAGGTTCCATATCACAAAGGGAAAGCTGGGTTTAAGTTTGGGGGTAATTGCCCTAAAGGTTTATGAATTTGGGGCAAAAAAGGGGCCAAAAACAAGTATTTTTCTAGTTTCCAGACAATAACTTGTGTTCAAGTGTACGGATCTCTCTGAAATTGTACTGCAAGGTACCATACCACAAAGGGAAGGCTGTGATAGAGTTTGGGGGTGATGAATCATAAGGGGTTTCATAAAATTTGAAGGGGGATTTTTTTTTCCTTTTTTTTTCTTTAAAATTTTTTACATTTTAAATTGGTTATTTTTTATTTATATATAAAAGCAAATAATAATGATATGGTTTGAATAGGTAAATTAAAAATTTTTAAGTTCTTAGACCACATTCATTCTGTGTCAGAAACCTATGCTGTATCAAATATTTAATCACAATCCAAATTCAGTGCTGTATCAAGCTTGAATGTTGTGTGCATACTTGTCCCAACTGTTCAGGGTTCGACATCTGCGGTCGTATCAAACTGTGCCCAGCGGAGCATTTTATTTTTATGTACAATATGAATTACCTGTTTTTGAGTGTTATTAAAACATTTTTAATTTTACATCGATCATTTCTGTATAAAAAAGGGATGCTGACACAAGATAGTTTAAAGCTTGAGATGACAGCTGATTTTTGGCATTCATTCAAGGAATATTATGATGAGTTCAAATCAAGTGTTAAAGAAGACAAATGGGAGGCTCTTAATGCCCTGGACAGGAGGAGAACAAGACAAAAAGGTAAATTTTTATTAAGGCCCCAGAAATATTATTCGTAGGTTTAAAGCAAAATCTGACAGACCTAGAATTTATATCCCTGTAAAACCTGCAACCACTTTTATATATGTTAGTTATTTAGATATTTAATGTGAATAGAAATGTTCTTTACCCAAAATGTTTTTTAACTGTAATAAAGAAATCGACAACATTTGTAATATAAATGAATTGCAGACTCACTGACCATAACTTTTACACAGTTCTATCACTTAACAAAATTATATCCATGTGTTGTTGTTAGAATAATGCATTTTGATTCTTGCAGATCTTGTGTAAAAACTTGTGTATGAATGCTATGAAAATTTCAAACATAACAAAATTTTAAATCAATATTAAAACTGTAACTACGATAATAATAGTAATAATCACATGTAGATCTATCAAACTGTTTTTATAAGTTATCTCAAATCTTCTATCTTTCTCAAGTTATCTGGGGTTTTTTTAAGTAAATAAGTTAAATATGTAAAAAAGGTAGATATACATAAATACCATAGGAAGATGGTAATAAAGAAATTGCATTTGTATCATATTGGAAAAGCAAATAATTATACCCCCGCTTTAAAAAAGTGGGGGTATACTGTTTTACCTCTTTCTGTCCTTCCGTCAGTCCATCCATCCGTTTGTTTGTCCGTCCCATGAATATTTTCGTCGCATTTTTCTCAAAAACTACTTGACAAGGATTTCTGAAATTTGGTTTCAGGGTTTATATAAGTAAGTTAACCCATGTGATGCGTTTTCAGATTCATCACTCAACAACTCCCTGTTTACTGAACACTTGTATTATTTTACACATGATAGCCTAGTTGAAAATTTTTGTCACATTTTTCTCAGGAACTAAATGACAAGGATTTTTGAAATTTGGTTTCAGGGTTTATATAAGTCAGCTATACCGTGTGATGTGTTTTCAGATTCATCACTCAACAACTTCCTGTTTACCGAAATATTTTGGCGGGGGTATCATCAGTGATCAGTAGCTCACAGTTTTACTCGTTTTTTATTGCATTCATGAACATTTATTTAATGTGATCATATATGGTTTTTATTGAATAATTATTAAAGTGTCAATATAAGTTATCAGTTACATTCATGTCTGTATATATGGGTATTACAACACCTTGAAAATTTGCAACACACATTAAACTTATAACTACTTTTGCAAGGCCTCTAAAATTGCTTCCAGTCAATATTTTCAAAATTACAGAAAAATTACATTTTTAATTCGATTTATATAACAAAAGACAGCTATTACAGACAAGCAATCAAACAATGTAATTGTAAAATATCTGCTCAAATAAGGGAGACAACTATGCCTCCAAAATGTTTAAAGTTCAAATAATAATGTAAAAGTTATTATTACCAATAAGTGAATTTGACTATCCTTGTAAGTAGATACAGGTATTTTGATGATTTGATTATGAACTCTATTCAAATGTTTATATACTGTACATTTTTTCTCATTAACAATATGTTTTCATTAATATTTCAGATAAAGAAAACTAGATTCAGAAGATAATTGAGACATTGGACTTGTACCTGTATTTCTTTTACTTTTTTAATATAAATATGAACCTGAAACGATTTTGTCATTCTTATCCCAATAAATTATTTAATCAAATTGACAACACCATGACAAGAAGAGGAAATAAAGGGCAAAGAACACTCCTCAAAGAACTATACAGTCAGACACCAGCCAAAAAAAACACTGTTACAACAGCATGTTGAAGAACTCAGGTGCTTAGGAAGAGTATTCATTTCATGTTTTTACTATAAAAGGCGACTATCCTGTCGATCAAGGCTAATAAAAATTCAATATTAATTACATTATAGGTACTGTACGTCACATTTTAAGAAAAGAGGCTGGATCAGTACAAAATATATGAAGCAGTAATACATGATGATGTTTAAAAGCAATATTTAATTTATACCAATGTACATACCATGCACAAACAGTGCAGATTACTATTATCGGAAATAATACATTACATCTGAAATCTGAAAGGCTTTACCTTTTAACTTTATATTTCTTTCAAGTGGACAATTGTTTTTTATATTTATTTTTGAAACAAATACAGTCAGATATTGTAAAACAAGCATTGCTGCAGTTGTTACTTAGTAAAGCTAATGTAAAAGAATTTAACATTGGAACAATATTGATTTCAAAACACATTAAACAAAATAGTTGCTACAGCTTAAAGTGTTAAGATTGACACTGAATATTGACCTGTTGCATTAAGAAACAGTGCTGTGTTAAAAAGTTGGGTGTTAATTGTTAGTTTATAGTTATTGTGTGTTTCCAAAGCACCAAAAATGAAACCACAAAGAAAAAACATACATATGATGGGTGTTGTGAAAAAAACTCTTATGTGAAACTGGTGTTGAGGACTTAAAAATCAGATGTAAAACAGGTTTTGAGGACAAACAAAAATCATATATAAAACGGGTGTTGAGGACAGAAAAAAACATACGTATAACGGGTGTTGAGGACAATAAAAACATACGTAAAACGCATGATTTGCCAGAAATTAACAGGCGTTTAACGTGCGTTTACCCGTAAAACGTACGTTATACATACTTATTTAACGCATGTTTTACGTCAACGCACGTTTTACATGTGTTTAACGTGCGTAATTCATGCGTTTCTTACAGGCGTTTTACATGCGTGGTCCTCAATATGCGTTTTACGTACGTTTCATAACATACGTAAAACACATGTTTTACGCATGAAAAACGGGTATGCAATTTTTGCTGTGTACAGGTCGTGGCTTAAAAATTTACGGCACGGCTTTTTCCTTTAATTTTAATGTCGCCTGCATACCTCTCACTGTACCTAATTCATCTTTGAACAAGTCCATGTGCATACGTTCATTAATTTTATCTTTAACTGAAGAAGGTGCTATCACTGACCTGATATGTTTCAAATCTACAGTTAACTTTGACAGCCAGTTTCTTACAAATAGATACGGTCCCTCTTTCTCAACGATCAACGGCTAATTGTGTTTGATTGTCATAAACAACATTGACAATTATCTCACAAATTACCGTAATTGTATCTCCTGTATATGTGTTCATTTTTACATTGCTCTTCCGTAACTGGATGCGAAAAGTACTTCTGGTAGTTTTCTTCTTCAATAATTGACGATCTGCACCTGTATCCAATTCCATAACGTAAGCGACATCTACATTCTTGACATAAAGCTTCAGTTCCCTGTTATCGGATGTCCTACGTGTTTTTTTATAATGAACAATGACCAGGAGTTTTCGTCTTGTTCTGATTCTGAATGTTCCTTCATCATGTGAACTTTCGACGGATTGGCTTTAAATTTGGTGTTCTTTTTATATTTCTTGTCAACTTGTCTTGATTTTCGTTTTTCGGTCCAAAGATGTACTGCATTTTCTACTAATATGTGTAATTTCTGTGCACTTCCGCATTCTGACGATCTTATTGTCACTTTATGTGTAGTTGATACACCATTTCGAAATTCATTGCTCTCTTTTTTCCGCAGCTTCTATACCAACATCAATTTCGAAAGCATTTTTCAGATCAAGTTCACTTTCGGATAATAATTTCCTTTGATGGTTTTTGAAAACAGTCCACAAACAAATCTGTCTCTTAAAGCATTCCTCTAGAAATGCATTTAATTGACAATATCAGTCAGTTGTCTATCTCTGATAAGCTAAATAATCATTCACTTTTTCATGGCTTTCTTATCAGCCAGTTTTCTATCTCTGACTAGCTAAATATTCCTCACTTTTTCATGGCTTTCCTATCAGCCAGTTTTCTATCTTTGATTAGCTAGATAATCCCTCACTTTTTCATGGCTTTCCTGTTTTTGTTGATGATATTTGTATCGTTCTGCAATAATCAACGGTTTAATCGTAAGTGATCCGTTACTATTTTCAAATGTCTTTGTATTTGGCTTTGCAAGAACACATAAGTTCCTTAACAAACTATAAGTCTCTTCTCCACAGACTTTGAGAAAAATTGACCTCGTTTTGTCATCATCATCATCGATTTCATTTGGAAAGAAATACTCTTCTAGTCATTTGGTTTATTCCTTAAAATTATTTTCAAACTTAAATTCCTCGATCCGACCATAAGTAGGCATTTTCAATATTTCAAGTGTGTTACAATTTCAGCAGATTGTAAAAATAAAGTTCACTAAAAATGTTCAATATCCTCGTCGCCAATGTTATATATTTATTGTGGGTTGCAGTGATGGCTATTTCAGATTCTTTATTTCTCGAACACCATAAAGTTACAATGGTACAAAGAAGTTCATAAGAGAATACATATTTATTAAACTACAATCTACACACACAATGATTACAATTTGCAATACATCAGTATACATAAAACAAACAGTAAGTCAATGCCATGTGAAAGTTACGCCCATAAAATCTAACAGAACATTATAACTTTGAACTATGTTTAGAGATAACAAACTATCGACATACACATCCGTTAATCTGATGATTATCAGTATATAAATAACACATAGCTGAGAGGGTGATAGAGCAGATTGTTACCCCGAGAAAACATTGTCAACTGAGGCGAAGCCAAGGTTTACAATGTCTTTTCGAGGGGTAACAATCTGCTCTATCACCCTCTCAGATATGTGTTATTTAATTTATTATACTGAATGTTATGTTATTACTGTCGATTAAATTTCAAATTCAAAGTAATAAACTATGACGTCTTGCACATAACAACCATCCGTATTTAATAAAGCGCACACTTGATCAAGCGTCTCCATGAATGGTAATAGAGTACATTATCACCCTCGTATAAGCCAATCAAAATATGGCATTTTAACGTGAAGTATAATAATATTAATTATAACCCAATTAAACTATAGCGATAATATATCTTGTAAACATAATATTTCCGTATCAGAATTTAAAAAAAAACACTAGGAAATAGATTATTTAACCCTTAAGCTTCACATCCTCCAATTATTTGTACACGCAATTTAAGGATTAGGATTAAGGATGAAATCAGAAAGGGATTTATAACCATGTAAGTGTTTACTTTCCGTGTTATTATGTTTTGTTTATATTGTTATATATATTTGTGAAAATTGTCTACCGATTTCAAAGAAAAGTAAGAATTTTATATTTTTTCTCTGTTTCAGTTTCTGGTGTTATCATTTTACTAGTAATGTAAAGCTTCAACATTATTATTACTAGGAAAAACCATACACTCACATACATCCAAGGACTCATACATATACTCATACTTTCCATACGCAATACCACAGTGGAATCAGCTTCTTTGTGGTACTTGTTCAGGCACCATCAGTTGATAGCTTCAGGGAACAGCTCATTCCTGTTCTCTGTACTATTATCTAATAGCATAGATTAAGATTGTTTATAGTTTTAATCACAAATTTGTTATTTTCATTTCATTAAATAATTATTTTGTGGTTGAATTGGGGTATTTTTTTATAAATAGTCCACGTATGCAACGGTTTGTAATCATCAGATGTTGGTTGAATATTGTATACCTGAAGAAGTAGATGAGTTCCAATTTTAATACATTATATGATCAAACTAAGGATGCCACATGTTGTCCTATTACAAATGTAAATGCAAGGTTCAAGCTATGTTAACTTCGATTAACTGACTACTTTAACATTTGAATGTAGGACTGAAAGTCACTGGACAATAAGTTACAGACAAAACGTCATGGACAAAAAGTTACAGATAGAACGTCATGGACAAAAAGTCACAGGACAAAAAGTCACATTTCAGTTCGTGATAAGTTTTCTTTGAATTAGAAATTACTTATTAAAAAAAAACGTTTTTGTATTTTTTCTTGAACTATTATATGTAAAGCAACTGTGTTAACAACATTTATATTAAAAAAATCATAATTATCAAATATGTGTTTAGAAACCAATTTGTCAAAGTGGCTTCGTACTTAAATGGCTTCGTGGTGCCAAGAATTATATCCTTTGAAATAAAACGAAGCGTTTACAATATTTTCACGATATAATATAATTCAAAGATGGAAATAAGGTAGATCAAGTGTATACCGCCATATTGGAATGTAAAATAGCAGAACACAATTTGTCTAGTTCTTTGTTTAAATAATAAGACTTGCATGATTAAAATTTAATAAATCTTCATTTATCAAGGCTAAAGAACAATTTCATAAGTACTCTCAGATCTGTACTTAGTGTCTTTTTTGTAGTGGGGATGAACATATACCCTGCCACGTCCAGTCTCGGTTTTTGTTACTTGTTTTCTGTTTTGTATCGATCTAATGAGTTAAGCCCTTATGCATTTTTTGCGACCGACCGTCCTAGTGGGCATACCACGTTTATTTGAATAAATGAAAATAAGTAATTTATTGCATTATTAAGACTGTTTTAAAAAATACCAAATATTTGTTTTTGTTCGAGTAAATTTTTCAACTAAGCTATTTATGGAGATATAACCCATATAGCAAAAATTATACAAAGGAATGTCAAATAAATTTTCATTTTTTACTTGTAGCAAGAAAACAAGTTCGGTGACACCCTTTTTTATTTTTATTTTCTTAAAGCATATTATAAAACCTATCTTCTCATATC